AGATACTGAAAATTGTAGAATACTTAAGCAAAGTCTTTTAAGGCCGGCTCTGGACACTGTCAGAGAAGCTACCACTGCAACACAGGTTGTTGATATTTTAAAGAATGTATACGGGATAGTAATCGATGGTAAAGAACTCTTAGTGCAGTTTTTTATTAATTACCAAAAGGAAAAAGAAACACCATCACAATATTTACAGAGGTTGTACTTACAGGTGATGCAGGTTGTAGAAAGGGGTGGAATTGAAGTTAGAGAAGTCCCAGAGCATCTTTTACGACAATTTATTCGTGGGAGTTTTGATGAGGAGTTAATAAATAAACTTGATTTAGAAAAATTAACAGATCCTCCTAGTTTTGCTGAGTTACTTTTATTAGTGAGAAGAGAAGAAGCCAGACGAACGGAGAAGAGGTTACGTTTGGAAAAGAAGAAAGAAGCCAGAGTCCACTCCATGACGGTTTCAAAGGAATATGAGGCAGCTAATGTCAAGATGATGGAGGAGTTACAAGCCAGAGTGGCCAAGTTAGAGGCTAAAGGTCAAGTGTGTGCACCTTCCACAGCGTCGCGGCCTGAGGTAAAGACTAAGGTAGAGAGAAAGGAGCGGCGTGGTAAAAAGAGTATTTTTTGTTTTAAATGTGGGGAGGATGGCCATGTAGCAAATGGATGTGAGAAAACAGCGAATGCAGAGTTAGTTCAGAAGAAACTCCTTCAGAAGACTTTAAACAGGTAAAGGTGTCCAGGGAGGGATCACTGGAGACCAGTAAGAAAGAGGATCCCAAGAATACAATTCAAACAGGTGATTCATTTCAAAAGTTATTACAAAATTTAGTGGGAAGCTCAAATGAGTCCGTTTCAATTGTAAATAATATTTGTACATATGCTTTGGTTGATTCTGGATCAATGGTTACTTGTGTAAGTGATTCTTTTATTCAGCAGCAGTTTCCTGATTTACCTAGGTATTCTGTTGATCAACTTCTTTTAGTGAAGGGACCCCAAGATGAAAACCTGCCCTACTCGTGTTATGTAGAATTGGAGATAGCTATTCCAGTGGATGGGACAGCACACGTGGTAGGCGTATTCCCTGTGCTGTTGGCCCCTGATACCGAATATAACCAACAAATTCCCATGTTGATAGGAACAAATGTTCTCGATAGGTTGTACAAACAACTGGAAAATAAATATCAGGGTAGAATACCAAATGATAAAATTGTAAATCAGTCAGTTTAGCGTTACAAACTGTGAAATTGAGAAAAAGACATTTGGAAAAATCCCAAGGGGTGTATGGATTATTGAGGAATAAAGAGAAAATCGAGGTTGGTCCAAACCAATCGAAATTTGTTTGTTGTGTGTCACAGATAGTTATCCCAATTCCACGAACAATTGCAATGGTTCAAGATTGTGGAGTGGCAGAGTGCGGTGTGCATCGTGATGACGGGTTGCGCGTGACTCCAGGGGTGATTGATTTAAGTAATGGGAATTTTGAAATTGAGATTACTAACCATCAGTCTAAATCGGTGGTATTGCAGCCTGGGACCACAGTAGCCCGAATTTATCAGGTTACCATGATGAATCCGCCAAGTGAACTCGATGATGAAAGTTTTATCAACCAGTTTAATTTACCGGCATCCGGGGAGGGAATTTCCCTGATCAAAGATTTGCTTTTGGAGCAGAAATCGGTGTTTGCTCAACACAAATTGGATATAGGGAAAACGTCGGTTGTTAAACATGGAATTGAATTAACAGATAACGTTCCGTTTAAAGACCGGTCGAGACGTATTCCTCCTGCATTGTATGAAGAAGTGAGAGAGTACTTGGATGAGATGAAAACCGCTGGTGTGATACGAGAATCTGCTAGTCCATGGGCATCGAACGTAGTTCTTGTCAGGAAGAAAGACGGTTCTTTAAGGTTTTGTATCGATTATAGAAAATTAAACAACCGCACGGTACGAAACGCTCACCCATTACCGCGGATTGAAGAGACGCTAGATGCTCTAAAAGGGGCGGTTTGGTTTTCATCGTTAGATTTGTGTAGTGGCTATTGGCAAGTCGAGTTGAAAGAAGAAGACAAAGCAAAGACGACATTCACAGTAGGACCGCTTGGATTTTATGAGTGTAACAGGATGGCGATGGGATTGACCAATAGTCCTGCAACGTTTCAGCATTTGATGGAAAGTGTGATTGGTGATTTGAATTTAAAAACCTGTATGATTTATCTTGATGATATTATCATTTTTTCAGGAGAATCCATTAGCGAACACGTTGCTCGAGTCAGAGAAGTATTGTGTCGATTAAAAAAAGCAGGGTTGAAGCTTAAGCCTTCAAAGTGTCAATTTTTACAACAGAGAATAAAGTATTTAGGGCACGTTGTTTCAAGTGCAGGCATTGAATGTGATTCAGAAAACATAAATGGTTTGAGACACTGGAAAACTCCTACTAACATTAAAGACACACAAAGGTTTTTAGGTTTTGCTGGGTTTTACCGCAGATTTGTGAAAGACTTCGCGAAAATAGCAAAACCTCTCTACGAGCTGACCAAAGAAGAACAACGAAA